GGGTGCGGGTATCCAACATAGTGGCACATTTCCCTACTTAAATTCGGGACCAACTCAACCAAGTAAATAAATAAAGAACAACATGTCATATTTATTTTTCGTGAAGTTTTTCTTAGAGGATGTAGTTTATATTTGTGCAAAAATAGACCCAAGTGAACACCCTAAGATAGATTAACTCACCAGTAACCACACTGAATTGAGCCAGCCATTCCCCATTTTCAGAAGCAGAATCTGTCCCTTATATTATTTATGCCATGGAGGAACAGTGAAAAATGAGTCTTCTCTTTTCAAGGCCCAGTTTCTAAGGGAAAAAAAAAAACGAGTCAGGGGTAAAGCCCTAGATGATTGGAAATTCACTTTCTCATACTCAGCAATTGGATAACTCTCTCAACCTCTTCCACAACCTCTGTTGTGGAAAAATGAAGGATAAGAGAAAAAGCCAGAGATCCTATGTCAGCTTGTGTTCCTCCTCTTGAAATGTCAAGAGTAAGTGTTTTCTTCTTACTATTTTGCTTAGATTGGACCTTAAATTATATATATAACTCAAACCTAAAAATTCTATACTCAAATTCTTAGAAGAAAGAATAAAAATTGCTGAGTTTTGAAAAAATCTGACTATATGAATGTGTTTATCCTATTTCCTTCATGTGGTTTGGCTTTTTGCTATAACAGTTTCATTAAATGTAATGATAGTCAAGGACCCTATTCTTTGGTTTGAAATTCACTTTTTTTTGTTTGTTATAACTAGCTAATCTCTCTACATTCACTAAAAATAGTCAATTTTATTACATTTGTGGTGCTCAGATGTCTTCTTGTGTGTTTACCAGATTTTAAAGGTTTACTAGATTTTCTAGATTTAAAAAAAAAACAGTTTTTTATAGATTTTTTTTCTTTGTGTATCTTACATTCTTCAGTTTTGCATATGGAGCTATATTACAAGTTTGAAGGAAAAAATATATTCTATTTTTTGATCAATTCTTATTCCACTCTAAGTTGTGGAAGATAGCTCATATCTTATTCATAGCTTATTATTAATTGGTCTTCTCATAGATCAAAATCTGAGAACTAGGTCATTGCCTTTTTGCTTAGCACTTTAGAGTATGATTCACAATACAAAGTTTGGAACTGAAATAATACCTTCCACGTTTGTTGTTCTCTGAAATTGACCTTTAAAATCTCATAGTCTTCTTGCTAATATGAGACAACAGAAAGTTATTTCCTCTAGAAATTTTGGTTACTAAAAAAATGAAAAAAATATATATGAGTGGTGAGCACTGTGAATTGTGCAAGACTGTTGAATCACAGATCTGTATCTCTGAAACAAATAATGCAAAATATGTTAAGAAAAAAAAGAAGAAGATAGCAGGAGGGGAAGAATGAAGGGGGGAAATCGGAGGGGGAGACGAACCATGAGAGACGATGGACTCTGAAAAACAAACTGAGGGTTCTAGAGGAGAGGGGGGTGCGAGGATGGGTTAGCCTGGTGATGGGTATTAAAGAGGGCACGTTCTGCATGGAACACTGGGTGTTATGCACAAACAATGAATCATGGAACACTACATCAAAAACTAATGATGTAATGTATGGTGATTAACATAACAATAAAATTTAAAAAATATATATATGAGTGGTAGAGTAAATAAGGGAAAAAAAGAATTAAGAGGACCAAGAAAGTAACTAGAGATCTTAGGAAAATAAATGTACTTCTATAGACACATTTTCCATTTGAGAGTAAAGAATGAAAAATATTTATAAATTATATATAAATAAATAATTTTGCTAGGAATACAAATATTTCCTTAATAAAAATATTTATTGAACATAGACAGTCTATTAACTACTGTGTTCAGGCATTGGGTTCAATATGAATAAAATATGGTCTTTTAATTCAAGGTGGAGGGGACAGACACTTAAGATAACAAGTTAATAAATGAACTCAACTTTCTAATGAGGAATACTCAGAATGCTCTTGGGCTCAAGAGAGATACCTGTTCTATCTGATGTGTTGAGGTAAGAAAGAGAGGAGGAAATTCAATAAACACTTGCCATAGTAGATTCTTAAAATGAGATTCAAAGAAACCTAAAAAATGTCGTCTCAACTAGCTTAGATAGAGATTAGTTTATATGTATTTTACAACACATAGCTAATGGTACAACTCAACTAAATAGAGTATTTTAAACATCGGGCATAAAAAATAAATAAAATCTATTTATTGAACACTGGGCTTAACAAAAGGGAAGATGAACATGACATCAATTGTTATTTGGCCTCTTCCATGCTATTGAGCCATTCTGTTTCATTGTTGTATGGTTAGCAATGGATTTGATACTAATGTTCACTCTTGGACCATCATTTAGAAGCACCAAAGCTTATTTTCAAGTCACTTGGTTGTTGTTAAGAAGGAGGGAGTCTGGGATGATTTGAATCTACTCTAGAGTCACAGAGATTTTCTTCTATGATTTCTTCTAGAAGTTGTATAGTTTTAGCCTTTTAATTTAGATACATTTAGAGATTTAGAGTTGATATTTGTATAATGATGTGAAGGAAGGGTTAATGTCCCCTCTTTCTCCCATGCAAATACCCTGATGTTCCAGTATCATTTCTTGAAATAATTTCCCTTTTTAAATTTAATTTCTTTTGTCCTTTTCTTGAAAATCATCTGAAAATATATAATCGGGTCTTTTCCTGAATTCTGCTCTGTTCCTTTGCCAGTGCCTGTCCTTATGCTAATACCATGTTGTCTTGATTAGTGTAGCTCTCTAATAACTCTTGAAATCAAATTATATAAATCCTTTCCCTCTCATTTTTTTCATACTTTGTTTGTCTATTGTAGGTTATTTACATTGAAATGTGTAATTCTTTTGTCAATTTCTACATTGAAAAATATCTGCCAGAATTTTTATTGTGATTAAATTGAATCTGTAGATCAATTTGAGGAGAACTGATGTCTTAACCACATTGAGTGTTCAATTTGTTAAATATGGCATGCCCTCCATTTATTAGGTTTTCAATATTTTTCTCAGCAGTATTTGCAGTTTTAGTATAAAGACTCAACATCTTTTTTAGTTAACTCCAACTATTTTGTCTTGAAAATTCCATACTTCAAATATTACATCAGTACAAACTTTACTGCTTTTATTACAGACTAATACTGATTTATCAGATATATAGCAATGCAAACTCCAATTAAAAGTCCTGATATTGTATTAACATATTTGGATATATATGAATGCAGTACAATAGAATTTTTAAATAAGTCTTTTTTTCTAACAAAATGTATTAGTAAAATTAGGTAGAAATATCTGAATGTATCGAAGAATCCATAAATTGACCACAATAAATAATGATAAGAAATTATTGATAGAACAGTGGCATCAGGTCATTTGTTCCTTTAACTTTATAGTTTTTAACAAGATTTATCTGTAAAAACAATTATTTTTCTCAACCGAAAAAGCAATTGAAATAAATACAACTCAATAGTAAAGTAAATATTTTCTCTTTTCCTTTTAAAAATATTAAACTGTTTAATGATATTTCACTTGCTTCCTTTGGTTTCCATTTGTAGTATTTAAGGAGTTTTAAACTGGATGTATTTGCATTTCTAAGCTTCCAAACTTCACATAATGCAGTTGTCATTTTAAAATCAATTATTATACTTCTATCGCTCACATATACTTGTCTGTTATTTTCTCACTTAGTTAAATTTAGGGGTACCCACTCTTAAGACTTTTGAATGAAAACCACTAACCTTTTCTCTTGGCTTTCTTTATTTTTTCCCCTTTATTTCAGGCAGGCAATTGAAAAGCATAGTAGTTAGGAGAAGGGAAATTTCACATCATCACATGGTTCATTAAATAGCTAACATTTTAGCTCTATGTATGAAACAAAAGGTTTTTGAAATAACTTAATTGTATAGACCAAATAAAATTTATACAGTATAATCACCATAAAGGCAAATTTTACACATAGAAATAGTAGCATATACACACAAACATACATAAATACACACATGACCACCACAAACACAACCACCATTTTTTTTTTTTTTTTGGTAAATGTAAATGCAATTCAATATTCTAGATGTTTAATCATTTCAAAGAGTAAGGTTACCCCAAATTGGATTTAATTCTACTTATCTTAGGATGCAAGTTTTGAAGAAATGGAATAAGCCAAAGTTAGCAGCTTGCCACTGTTTCATCTCTTAACCAGACTGTGGACTGAGCTCTACATGTCTGACCTTTTGTCTCATACGTTACATCTGCAATTAACGTGGTTCAGTGCACCTCTTGTCAGTAGCTGTTAATGAGATTTAAAGCCATCTTTAAAACCAGCTTAAAAAAACATTAGTGTTATTTGATGGCATTTTTCTCTCTGCTTTAGTATTATGCGTATTAAAGGAACACACAAATTGGTGTTCGGCACAGATGTCCATCAAGCATCTGATATATTACTCCTGTTAAATTTTAGTATAATTTCATAGATTTGTGTAAAGTTTCCTTAGACTAGGAATATTCTCTTTATAACTGTTATTTCTGTTTGTTTTTTGATCTTTGCCTCAGTCTTATTCACAAATTTAGAGATAGGTTGACCCATATTGAGTGTCAAGATCATTTCAAACTATTCCTAAGCCAAAAGTCGTGGTAATTACAAAACTAGACACTCTGGCAAATACTTTGAATTTTCAGGATCTTTAATGTGTTAACATATTTGTAGTTCACCAAAATCAATAAAGCATATTATATTGTACAACTTATAAAGTATGATGCATATGTAATTTGTAGAAATTATAAATACCCTTTGACTATATAAAAAATCTTATAAGAAAAGAAAAAATATTTATTCAATACATATATTCCAGACATTAGGTAAATATAAAAAATATATACAATTTTTTTCTCATCATATTGGCAAACAGAATGCAAAGGAAAAATTCTCTCATTCAATTTTAATGGGAGCATAATTGGGTATAAAGATTTTAGGATTGAATTTTTAAAATATGAGCTTTGCGCAGTGGCAGTATCGTAGCCAATGAGGTTTATCCGAGGCGCGATTATTGCTAATTGCATTTTTAAAATATGTATGAGAAAACTAGAAGGTTTTAAAAATCTCTCAATCATATACTCCTCTTCAAGTATACATACTAAATAAATAATCAAGTTGAAACAAAAGACTTATGTACATGTAGTATATTATGATGTTGTTTTAAATAACAAAATATTAGAAATTACCGTGTTGTCATAATTATATAAGACTGTACATATATAACAGGCACTATTTCATAGTCGGGAAAATATGGTTCAATATTTAAAAAATAATGAGAATAAATGCTTAAATATTAGAAAGCAAGAAGAAACCAATTCAAAACTATAAATTCAGAAAAATGAGTATGCTTGGAGACATGTTAGATAGCTGGACAGGCAAGCAACAAATAGGTAAATGCACCATTAACTGTGGCTATTTATCACTGTTGGAATTATGGGTGATTTCCAGTTTCTATACAGTTTATGTGTATATAGATTTTCTCCATAATGTATGTATGTATTCAATGATCAGAAAAATAGTGTGTTAGATTAAAATCAAACCAAACAATTGTAAAACTACCTACACAACTCTCCCATTTCCAGGGCCAACTCTAATGAAACCTTTTATTCAAGCCCTTTATTTTCACTGCTGTTTTTTTTCTGACTACAACAGAGTTTGACCGCTCAATGGCAATAGGAGATGAGTTTTTAAGTATCTTGAATAAAATGAGTCTTTTCGTTTGGCATATTAATTTCTAACTGTTCACTGTCCCTTAACATCTCAATGTATCATGGAAAGGCCCCTTGAAAGCACAGCTAGTGGGCATTATTGTTTGAGCCTTGCATGACTAATATTATTGATTTTCCATGTTTATTGTGTACACCAAATTCTTTTTTTTTTACAAACACTGGTTTTAGAAAAATAGTTATATCTGTACATGTTCAAAGATTTATTACACTCTTCTAGAAACCTTAAAAGCAAAATTCAACTATAATTAGTGCAACATAAGAACAAATATGGATAGAAATATGTGGATATGCAAGGGTATACAAAACGATCAATGTTAATTTATTATCTGCACTCAGAATCCTTATAAGACTTAGAGAATTTGACTATTTTCTTTTCTAGCAGCAATGTGTGTGCTTGTTATAAACATAATCTGTATCCAAAACTTAATACAAGTCAAAAGGAACATTTTCTTATTGACTGATGAAACTATTAACATGAAATGTCAATGTGACAGAAAAGCCTCTGTTACCTGAGAGAATTTGTTGTTTTGCAGATTTCTATCCATATTTATTTTATAAGTTATTTTACATTTTAGAAAACATTTTCCTATTAATTTTTCTATAGTATACTAACCATAGCATCAAAAAATTTCATCTTTGCTCTATATTTAATGGTACTTTTTCAAACAAAATAATTACATAATTGTATTAAAATGTTTTTAAGAATTTTAAAAAGAATTTACTTGTGAAGAAATTAAGATATAACTGGATCTATTCAACATTCCTAATCCTTATGTTTTAATTGATGGAAAGTCATGTGGTTCTAATAGTTGAATCTGAAAAAAAAATCACAGATAAGATATCAATATTTTCTTAGATTAAAAAATTAAATATTTTATTACTACTTAATATTTGAATATTCTTACAGAATTTAAGATTAAATATATATTTCAGTTACCTACCAAATATTTTAAAGTTTTCAATGTAATGCTTACCCTATTGAAATAGTAGTCTTCATATCCCTGAACTTTTGAAACCTGATTGTTTCCTTCCAATAATTGTTTTCACCCCATAAACATTGTAGGGATTAGCTTGTAAAAGTAGTATTTTCATTTTGCTGATTTTTCTCTCAGTTTCTGTGGATTTTTGCTCAGAATTTTTGCAATAACCAGTGCCTTTATTCAGGGCATTCCACAGCTCAAGATCTGGCTAAATACAATTTGTGACAGATCCCTGTTCCATATCCACATCTTTCTATATAATTACTAGTATCTATGAAATCTCTTGATCAAAGAAGGTTGCTTTGATTATTGTAGTACAAATTACTTAAAACAGATCCCTCAAAGTTTCCTGGGAGCCTCATTTCAACAATTAGGCATTGTAAACTTATTACATCACCCCACTAAGCAATACTTCTCAATGACATGATGTTTTATTGGCAGTCAAGACTCCAAGAGAAATATGTGCTTTGATATATTGGTAATTCAAAAAAATAGTTATAAGGCTTCTACCCCTGAGAAGATAGAATAGACACAATTTTCCCTACTTTTCCTGCAAAGTGTAGCAGAAAACCCTGGAAATGGTATCTAAAATATAAGAAGACTCTGAAATATGAAGAGAAGGCTGGCCAGCTAGGGACCTTGGAATATGTGGAAGGATGCAGTGGCAAGTTCTCTGGATTTTCTTTTTGTCTTCACATATCCCAAACTGAATGCTAGAAAAGTCAGCATTATAGAAATATTGAATGGGCCAGGAAAAAAAACAAAAAACAAAAAACAAAAACCAAAAAACATAGTCCCATGACAAGTATGTTCTGTCTGGCCAAAGAACCAGGAATGGTTCTTCCCGGAACCATAGCAACACGGAAAACTTTTTGACAATAACTGCCAAACAACAGAGAACAAATTGCAGCCCCAGCTCAGTTGGCAAAGGCTGAGAGGAAAACTAGATAGACTTCCACCCTCGCAGGCACACCAACCTACCCTCCACAGTGATGTTCGAGAACCCCGAGTTGAGGACCAAGATTTTCATCATCTCTTGAAAGTAGGGAGCCCACCCTCTCCTGGTGTCGGACCACATGGGGAGACTGGAATTTTGCCTCCACCACTTGTAAGATGGCACCACCGTCCCCATTTCTGCCAGGGTGACGTTAGAGAGGACTGAACTTTCGCCATCACCGAGCAGTAACAAGGCCCCTTCCACAGAATTGCACTGGAGATTAACACTAAGAAAATTTAAAAGGAATTTATACAGTTATTTCTTTAAATATAAAAACAAAACCATTACATGATAAAATAAAGACCATGTTTTAAAATGAGTATGTTTTAAAAAATTAAAGCAAATGTGGTGAAAAGAGTGACATTGTTATATTTTTCAAAACCTCCTTAATGTGTCACAGCTGCTTCTGCCTTCAATTGCTTGTGATATATGATTTTGAATGAAGTACATAAAAAATAGACTATATATATAGGGATTTGGAAAACAGAATTTTTAATAAACTTTCTAGATAACTGTGACTTTGATACTACACCAAAACTTGACAAATGGTAAGGTAAGGTTAGTTGCAGTATGGAATAAAAAAGTCATTGAACTGAACTTTTCATACTCTGTTGCATTAAAATCCATTAGTCTGCCTTGATGTTTTAATGCAGACTTGGAGTCATGGGCAATTTGTGTGTCTCCCAACGGCAAGGATCTAATCTTTATGATCTAGAAGAAAATACCCACTTTCCTTAGTACCTCACAATGCAAAATATCCCGTCTGTCTGCCATACTCTGATAAGACACTCCAGTTAAAGAGCCACCCTTCATCACATGACCTGCCCTAAAGTCAGGGGTTTCATATAAAAATGCATTTGTAGAGGGCACCTGGGTGGCTCAGTCATTAAGCGTCTGCCTTCGGCTCAGGTCATGATCCCAGGGTCCTGGGATCGAGTCCCACATCGGGCTCCCTGCTCGGCGGGAAGCCTGCTTCTCCTTCTCCCACTCCCCCTGCTTGTGTTCCCTCTCTCGCTGTGTCTCTCTCTGTCAGATAAATAAATAAAATCTAAAAAAAAAAATGCATTTGTAGAAAAAAGGGAAGTCTGTAGTATTAATTCACGATGCCTCAAAAAACTGCTGTCATATGATTGCACCACCCCATGTTGTGATCCTGTAATACTTCACTGATTTTTTTTGCCATCCTTTCGTGGATGGTAATGGATAGAAGTTACGGTCGTTTTGGATTCCAAGTCAAATATCTCCATGTCCTCTCATCTGTTTAAAAATAGAGATGAAGTGGCCTCGAGAGACAATGTTCTTATTTGCTAGAGCAAACAGTAGAGGTCTTTCATTCCAAGATATGAAAGATACTAAAATTAATCAAGGATACAAATATTAATGTGGTGGAAAACCAGAGTTCATAAAAAAAGGAGACTGGACGGTTTGTCAAAATCAAGATGTTAGGAACAGATACTAAAAACCAGATTAAAGAGCCAGATATTTTAATTTTTACTGGGGCATGGTTTGTGAGAGGGATAAGGCCGGGACAGATATCTTGGGTGACAACAAGGAAAAGAGCATTCATTCTTAGACCCGGTGCTCTAGGTGTGGTAACAGTGGTGAATAGAGTTATTTAGATACCATTTTTATTCCACCAAACTGATACTGTATTCACTTTTCTAAATGGTTGCATCCAACAGTTCTCAAAGCTTGTCATTTCTGTCTCTCTTAAATATCATTAAGTATTTTTCAAAGTAGTATTTTTGACCGTGGTCTTTTATTCTTAACTTTTTTGTTTAATTTACATAATGTATTTGTAAATTTAGATGAAAGGATGGAATCTATCTCTTTTTCCCCCCCTTATTTCATCTCTGTGTTCTGGTCATTTACTATGATGTTACACTTTTGTGATTTATTCCAGTGATGACAGAATCAGAGTTTAAAGGAGAAGCCACATCTTCTTCCCTTTGGTGAAATAATATAGTTTGGAGAATTTTGCAGAAACTGCGGATAATTTTCCTCCAGCTTTTCTTTCAGAGGTTTGACATGTACCTCTTCAAGAAGAGACTTACATTGCCCTTGATTCTGGAGGATGTTTTAGTATTTTGACAGATAAAGACATTGTCTGTATCTGTATCTGTGTCTGTAGACATATGTCACATCTGTATCGTATCTATACATAGGTATAGATATAGGTATAGACATAGACAATAGATATAGGTATATAATCTCCCCCATTCTGTTCCATCTCCATCTAGTTAGGCATTTATGAACTGAGGTAATCTTGCTACTTTAGCTGTGGCCACAGTTCTCTTCCTGTGCTGTATTCTTCACTGGCAACTAGCAGGACTAAGTTCCAGCTATCCATGGTGGCAGTGCACTTGATAAAGCATTCTTTATTGATT